GCGCGTGCGCGGGGAGGGGGCTCAGGCGCGCGCTTCGGCCCGTGCTCGCGGGGGCGCGCACGGCCTCGGGAACGCGCGCGACGCAGAGTCCATTTTTACCCGAGCGAGGCTAAAAATAGTCGCGGCGCTCGGAGCCGAGCCCGAAATAGCCGCCCCCAGATAAGGCAGGACGACTCAGCGCTTCCGGGGAGCGGAAGGGGGATGGGGGGGCGCCGGGCGGAGTGGGTCCCCGCGTCCCCAGCGCGCCCCACCGCGTCCCTCGGCCAGCGGCTTCAGGCGCGACTTCAGCGCCCGCCCGCCCGGTGCCGTCCTTCCCCGTGTCCTGTGCCCCATCCTCCGCCTCGCTCCGTCCCCATCCCACACCGCAGCTCCCCTCCCCCCGCGCCCGGGCTCCCCAGCTTTCATTCTCAGCCCTGCCCCCCCGCTCTGTCCAAAATGTCTCCCAAGCGCCCTACTTGTGTCCCGGTGCCCCTCCCCGCCCCGCCACGCGCCTCTGGCTCTCTGGACTCTGCGCCCCAACGCTGACCCTGACCCGGCCACTCTGGGGTGCGGCTCGGAAGGCCAGGGCCTGCGTGGGGGCTGGAGGGGAGGTCTCACTCCCCGCGGCCCGGGCCTCGGTCTGGGGTCACAGTGGGGCTCATCCTGTGACCAGACTCCAGCCTCAGGCCGGAGACAGAGCCCTGCAGGTCCTCGGTCGCCAAGGCTGAGGGCTCTGTGTCGCCAATCAGGGTTCAGCCGGGGACCCACTGCTTAGCTCACGGATGGACCGCGTTTCTTCCCTTGCCAGTCAGCGTTGGGACGCAAGGGCTCCAGGCAGAGCACAGCTGGGATCCCTGCTGCGCCTGGGCCCCTGCGAGGCCCCTTCCCATTCTGACACCCTCTGGCTCCCGCGCTGCCTCCACCAAGGACGGTCCCGGGCAGCAAGGGTCTACACTGCCTTCCCCGGAGGTTTAAAGGACAGAGGGGAGTGGCCTACCCGCGTGACCCCTAAGGCAGTGTGCCAGGCAGCTGTACAGTGACAGCTAATGCGAACCTCTTGGCAGTGGCTGGGAGGCAGTTTCAAGTGACAGCAAGGTCACTGTCCCTGGAAGGCACAAAGTTCAAGCCGGGTGCCCAGTTGTTACGCTGTCTGCGTGGTAGGGCACAGAACCACCAGACAGAGGGTCGGGCTGGAGGAGCCTGTAGAGGATCAAGAAGAGTAGAGAGGATCAAGGAATTAGGACGCTGGAAAAGTCAGCACTGAGCAGACCACACAGGGCCTGGTGGGCCACTGGGAAGGCCCTAGATTTTTCCCCTAAAGGCACTGGGGAGCCATGGCAAGCTTTGAGCAGAGGAGGGAGGGACAAAGGCAGGGATTTTTCTTTGATTTTGATTCTGGGTTTTTTGAGACAAGGTCTTGCTATGCAGTTCAGGCTGGCCTTGAACTCACCTTGTAACCCAGGTTGGCCTGGAACTCATGTCAATCCTCCTGCCTCAGCCTCCTGAGTGATGGGGTACAAGTGTGCACCACCATGCCCAAGTGTCAGGAGGCAGGAAGAACCAGACTTCGAGGCTGAGAGGCTATGGGGGGAGGGCACATGCTGGATGAGGCTCTGATCCCCACCTCAGGAGAGGGCAGGTGGTAAGGTCATCCCTGAGATGAACCCAGGAGGAGAAAGGAGCAGGCATGACTGGAAGGAAGATACCCAGATCAATTTCAAATCATTCCACAGGGGGTAATTTTTAAATTTCTATTTTATTTATCGATCGATTGATTTTTGAGATAGAATCTGGTAATGTAGTCCAGGTTGGCCTCACTGGCCTTGAACTTGCAGCAATTCTCCTGCCTCAGCCTCCCAAGTGCTGGGATTACTGGCATGCACCACTGTGGCCTTCTGTATTTTATTTATTTTTGACTGACATGTAATAATTTACACATACATGTTTAAGAGGTGTAGGTACAATGGGATGGGTTTTTTGTTGTTTCTGTTTTTTCAGTCTTGGGAATTGAACCCAGAACCTTTTGTCTGAGCTACATCCTCAGCTCCTCTCCCCTTTTATTTTTTATTTTTTATTTTTGAGACAAGGTCTTGATAAGTCATGAAGTTTGAACTTGCAATCCTCCTTCCTCATCCTCTTAAGAGTGTTGGGATTACAGTCATGTGCCACCACTCTTGCCTTCATTTTATATATATAGAAAGAGATATAGATATAATTTAACTTGGATAATTAGAATATTCATCACCTTCCAACTTTTATCATGTCTTTGTGTTTTGTTTTTTTTTTTTTTAAATGTTTTGATAAATACAAACGGAAGTACCTTGAAAAACCTACCCCTGATCATGGCTTCTCTTTGTTTTCTCAGACAGGGTCTCACTGTGTTGGCTGAGCTGGCCTCAGACTCCTGATGGTACTCCTGCTCAGCCTGCCGAGTGCTAGGATTACAGGGCATGCCACTATGCCCGGTTCAATGTGACCTCTTGTGTGTCCTGGCCAGTGGGAGTCTCTGAGCTCTTAGTGTCCCCACCCGTGCTGATTGGAGTCACCACCTGGTGTGGGGGCCAGGCACCAAGTTAGGGGAAAACTGGGAGGACAGGGATGAGATCGTCCCAGGGCTGGCTCTGAAAGGCTTTAAAATTGCAGGCGAGGAGGTGACCTGCAGACCAGGAGAGGCAAGAGACAGAGTTCAGAAGGCCAGGCGCTGGGGGAGGAGTGTGGGCGTTGAAAGGAAGCTGCCTGGAGGATGAGGAGTGAGGCGGCCAGAAGCCACCTTCCAGACCCTTGGACAGGGCTTGGCTGAAAGCAGATCGCTTTCTTGGGAGGCTGAGTTCCAGCAGCAGCAGCGCAGTGCTCCCCTCCTAGGCCCGCAGGCCCCAGAGGCGTTTGGAGGAGGAGAGGACTGGATGACATCTCAGGGGCCCGCCTCGGTGACAGCACAGCCCGCAGTCATGACGTCTGATGATTCGCCACTGCCTGTTCAGACCCGCATCTCTAGTCATGCCCTGTGGGGTTGATGCAGATGGGAGGAAGTGACAGGCCATGTGGCTGCTGTCGTGCAGACACTGGGGACTCAGGAGCCAGGACCAGTTCTGCCTGCCTCTCTAGGGAAGGGTCCCCAAGGGGCTGGGTCTAGGAAGGAGGTACGGCTGGGGTCAGTCGCAGGTTGGGATGGGGTCAGCCCAGGGGCTTCTGGGATGAAGAACGCCTGTTGCGTTGACTGCTGTATCACCATGAGCGTGGACGGTAACTGAGACAGAGTAGGTGCTCAATACATCGCTGTCGAATGAACCAATTCCATGAAAGGGCTCAGCACGCTCCTGGACTCAGTTTACCCTCTTGCCTAACAGCCATGGCCATTGTGCGGCCTCAACCAGAAGCGGCGCTAAGGATACCCGTCTCTACTCCGGTCTCAGATCCAGACCTGTGGACGAAAAACGAATTCGCATGCCTCAGAGGATGAAAAACGAGTTCGCAGGCCGGGTGTGGTGGCGCACACCTGTAATCCCAGCACTCGGGAGGCTGAGGCAGGAGATCGTTGCGACTTCGAGACCAGCCTGGGCTACAAACTGAGCTCAAGGCCAACCTGAACTGCATAGCGAGATCCTGTCTCAAAAAAAAAAAAAAAAAAAAAAAAAGAAAAAAGAAAAAGAAAAACGAGTTCGGGACTCCGTGGTCCCGCCCACTTGTGACGTCACGCAAGCCAGGGGATCCCGGCCCAGGCCCTTCCTCTGGGTGAGAGGAGGGGAGGGGAGGGGAGGGGAGGGGCCCGCGATCCGGACTCCGGCCTTTCCCGCGGGACAGCCGGGCCTGGCGGGGTTACGTAACCCGTCGTCGCCTCCCAAGAGACGTTGCCGGATGTCCTGGCCAGACCAGGGACAATGGTTAGTGAGAGCCCCTGTCGCCAGGAGCCTGGAAGTGGCCAGGCACCCCCCACTACACAAACACAAACACAAAAACACACTTCTGATTCACCCTTGTTTCCAGTCCGTTTCAGCCACCTCCTTGGGGACCTTTGGCCTTCCCCAAAACTCTGTAAACTCACATCTTGCACCCCGTACAGTGCACTTGTTCCCCACCCTGCAAATCTGTCCCCCTCCCCTGCCCCTCCCTTACGCTTCTCAAGTTCCCCCACGCTCTGCCTTACACCATCGCTTGATTCCTGAACCCCCTAAACTTCCAGTTTCCCACGTCCTTCTGTCACTCACCGTCCCGGGTGTCTCTTCCGGCTCCCTCAAATGACCCCACTGTTCTGCCCCTGTCCTCCCAATCCCCTCCGTGGCACCCCCAGTCTTCCCCCAGTATCAGGTCTTCCCCAAACTCCTTCCCGCTTGCCTCGAGCTGAACCCTAATAATCGTCCTCGTCCCCTCAGTCTTCTCCAGCTCCCGCGAAGCTGTCCCTCTGTCCGTACCTGACCCCCAAATCTCATCCTCCTCCCTCTTTCCCATCAGAGCCCTCCTGGGCCCCCGGCTCCCACGCCGGGCCCAGGTTCCCAGGCCGCCCTCCCCGCCATGGCCCAGAGACCCAGTTTGCCACGGCAAAACATTGGTCTCCAAGCAACAGGCCCCGCCCCGCCCCGGGGTTGTGAACAGCGATTCCGGCCGCGCGGGGGCAGGGCGCGTGCGAGGAGGCCGGGCCGGGACTGCGAGCCCAGGCGGCACGCTGAACAAGGACTTTCACCTCCAGAGACCTGGCCTGCGCGGAGGCCCTGCCACCGAGACACAGCAACGCAAAAACAGAGATCAGGACCCCGCAGCTAGAAACTAGGAGACGCGTGCGGAAGCTTCAACCACGGGGAGCTGGCGGGACACAAAGATGAGAGACCCTTCGCTTCAAAGGGGCAGGGACTGGGCCGGGGATTTAGTTCAGCAGCACAGCGCCTGCCTGGCAAGCGCGAGGTCCTGAGTTCGATTCCCGGTACCAAAAAAAAAAAAAAAAAACAAAACAAAACAGAACAACAACAACAAAAAGGGGCAGGGACAGCCTGAGGAATAAACAGAAATGTTGACCTTAAAACACAGGCAACCCCCAGGCCCCCGCAGGACGCCTCTGATGGCTGAATAATCTCTCTGATCTTCAGGCCCTTTGCACCAAAGGGACTTCCCCTCTCTGACTCTCAGTTTCATATCTGTAAATTTGGGACATTAATAAGCAGCGCTTAGCAAATAAGGCTATGGTGACGATTTAGAGAATTTGCACACCTCCAGCTCGCTGAACGATTCCTGGCACGCATCATTCATCACTTGTTTAGACAACAGCTATTTATGGAGCATCTACTATATGGCCACAGTAGTAAGCGCTAGGGGCAGACAGCAGCGAACTGGACTGTCTCTGGCCTGCTGGGAACTCCTTGAGAGAGCAGAGAGGGAAGTGACTAATGAATATACAGTAAATTAACACGAATGTACAAATTAAGCAAATTCTACTGGAAAGTAAGGTGTGCTGGGGAAGCAGAGGGGGAAGATTAGGGGTGTCACTGTCAGTGAGATGATCCAGAAGGAGGAGACCAGAAGTTGATGAGGGAGAAATGCCTGGATATCTGAGCTAAGAGCATGCCCAACGCAGGGAAGAACCAGTGCAAAGGCATTAAGGTGTGATCCTGTCTGGCCTGTTGGGGAAACAGGAAGCCAGTGTGGCCGAGGGAACAAGGGGGCGGGGCCAGCAGGTGAGGTCAGAGAGACTAATTCAGGGCCAGGGCACAGGGCGTGGTGAGGCCTATGACTCTCCTGAATGTGTCCAAAGCCCTGGGAGCATTTTGAGCAAAAGGGCTGACTCTGCTTTTA